ATCTTTTTTTTTTCAAGATTCCATATATAAGTGGTATCATATGGTATTTGTCTTTCTCTTTCTGGCTTACTTAACTTAGAATGACATTCTCCAGGGCCATCCATGTTGCTGCAAATGGCATTATTTTATTACTTTTTATGAGTGAGTAGTATTCCATTGTATACCACATCTTCTTTATCCAGTCGTCTGTCAATGGACATTTAGGTTATTTCCATGTCTTGGCTATTGTAAATAGTGCTGCTATGAACATTGGGGTGTATGTATCTTTTTGAATTAAGGTTCCCTCTGTATATGTGCTCAGAAGTGAGGTTGCTAGATCATATGGTTAAGTCTGTTTTTAGTCTTTTGAGGAATCTCCATGTTGTTTTCCATAATGGCTACACAAAACTACATTTCAACCAACAGTGTAGGAGGGTTCTGTTTTCTCCACAGCCTCTCCAACATTTATTGATTGTGGACTTTTGAATGTGAGGTGATACCTTGTTGTAGTTTTGATTTGCATTTATCTGATAATTAGTGATATTGAACATTTTTTCATGTGCCTATTGGTATGGCCAATTGATTTTTGACAAGAGTGCCAAGACTATTCAATGGGGAAGAAATCATCTCTTCAACAAATGGTACTGGGACAACTGAATATCTATATACAAAAGAATGAAGTTGCCCCCTACCTCATGCCAAATATAAAAACTAACAAAATGGACAAAAAACCTAAATTTAAACTAATAAAATAAAGCATGACCTTAGATTTGGCAATGGATTTTTAGATTTGACTCCAAAAGCACAAACAACAAAAGAAAAAACATAAATTGGACTTCATCAAAATTAAAATTTGATGCAACAAAAGACATTGTCAAGAAAGTGAAAGGACATTGTACACAATGGGAGAAAATATTTGCAAGTCATATCTGATAAGGGTCGAATATGCAGAATATACATAAAGAACTCTTGTAACTCAACAAGAGAAAGACCAACCCAAATGAAAAACGGGCAAAGGGCTTGAGTAGACATTTCTCCAAAGAAGATACTCAATGCACAATAAGCACCTGAAAAGACGTTCAACATCATTAGTCATTAAGGAAATACAGATTAAACCACAATGTGATACCACTTCACATCTCCAAGAATGACTGGCTGTATTTTTAACATGGAAAGTAATGGCAAGTATGTGGAGAAATTGGAATCCTTGAATATTACTGGTGGGTATATAAAATTGTGTAGCCTCTGTGGGAAACATTTGGCAGTTTCTCAATAAATTAAACATAGAATTACCTTATGGCCCAACTCCAAGGTACCTGATATTCCACTTGTAGGTGTATATCCAAGGGAACTGAAGTAGAATTAGAAATAGAACTGAAATAGTGGGGAGGGTATAGTGCAGTGGTAGAGTGCATGCCTAGCATACATGAGGTCCTGGGTTCAATTCCCAGCACCTCCATCAAGAAAATAAAATAATAAATAAATCTAATTAGCTCCCACCCCCCATCCCCCCCAGAAATAGAACTGAAATAGAAACTGAATAGAACAGAAATAGGAATTCAAATAGGAACTTGTACACAAATGTTCATAGCCGTGCTGTTCACATTAGCCAAAAGGTAAGTACAACCCAAATATCCATCTGTGGATGAAAGGATAAACAAAACACGGTATTTCTCTACAATGGACTATTATTCAGCTATAAAAATGAAGGAAGTACTGACACGCTACATCATTGATGAACCTTGAAAACACTACACCATGTGAAAGAAGTCAGACACAAAGAGCCACATATACGACTTTTTATATGAAATCTCTAGAATAGGCAAATTCATAGACAAAGAATAGCAGTTGCCAGGGACTAGGGGGTAGGAGAAAATGGGGTAAAAATGTATGCAGTTTCCTTTTAGGGTGAAGAAAATGTTCAGGAACTAGATAGACGTGATGGCTGCACAGCATTGTGAATATATTAAATGCCACTGAATTGTATACTTTAAAATGGTTAAAATGGTAAGTTTTACTGTATGTGTATTTTACCGCAATTTTTTTTAAAAGTTCAGTAAGACCATTGGAAAATATTTTAGGACCATTTAGAAATGTTTAGTATGCATCTTTTATATTTTTTAATGCACATCCCCTACATTACATATTTTTAAATATTTAAGATCACATTATGCATACTACTTTTCAGACTTTTCATTTTCTGTTAGATCTTGGATATACCGTTCTGCTTAACTAGGGAAACTGACTTCATCATTCTTTAGCAGTTACGGGTATCCTGTAATTATCATTTTAGACTTCCCTGCCTCCGGGCTCGCTCTTTTCCCAATCACGCTGTAAATGTGACCCAAATTATCTATTTTCAGGATAATTGTATGTTCAGTTAACTCCATGGAAATACCATCATTTAGAAGCATTTGATTTTCTGGAGACAATGTATGAAGTATTGGCCACAGAATATTATGTGGTGATATTTTTCATTTGTCTTTTGAAAGATTTATGTAATGGTGACACATGCATAATATCATTATTTTTTTCTTCCAAACCTGGAAAAATGTGACTCATCAAATATTATTGTTTAAAAATGCCTAGTTGAAATCTTTAGAAGAATTTCCAATCCTTTCAAAATTCAGTTTTGAAAATTCAGTAGTTTTGGTCTACATGATGTACATTCAGTGGCTCAATTCCATTTTTGGTTGAAAACATTTAATCGAGATATGTTCATTGAATCATCTGAGTAATGTGTTTCTATATCCTAGATGATCTGTCCTCATAAATGAACCAGCAGTTTTACAAATTGACATGTATATTGCTGTATTATGATTACAGCTATTTAAAATACATGGCATTGGAGGGGGGAGGATGTATCTCAGTGGTAGAGGGCATGCCTAGCATGCACGAGGTCATGGGTTCGATCCCCAGTACTTCTGTTAAATAAAAAATAATAATAAATAAATAAACCTAATCCCCCCAAAAAAGAAATAAAATACATGGCATAGTAAACAGACTAGAAATAATAAACCAAAATAGTAACTATAGTTTTATAAATATAGTTGTTGGATAACTAATATTTTTTGTTTCCAATAATTTTGTATTATTAGTATGTTCTGTAAATGTTTTTCTAAATTATTTCAGAATTTATCTTAGATTAAATCAAAAGACAATATAAATTTTTTTTTTGGAAAATTTTCTTCATGGAGGTTTTCTTTCTTCCTCTCCCTTACTGTTTTCTTACCTGGTAACACATTATAGCTTGATTCTACTCCAGGCACACTTAAAAAGGATTCAAACTTTTCTTCTGTGCTATAATCCAAGTTAACCACGGGAAGTGTTGCGGCTGGTGTAACGATCCTCATTTGCTGAATTCCAAGCTGCCTGCTGACTCTGTGCGTGGGCAAGGTACTTTTCCTCGATCTTCTGTAATACATCTTCCTTCTTTGCTTCCTAGAAGTTTCTTCATTTTGTCCAAAGTCGATTTGAAAAACGAGAAGTAGCAGAAAACAATACAACCCTGAAAACTTCATGCTTGCTTTTTCACCATTTGACTCCTAGACTGAGAATGAAACAGAGTTTAGGAGTTAATGACTAAATTTCTTCCTATGAAAATTGGCTTATAATTGCCTGTATCCCTCAGCAGCACATCTTTGAGAAATAATAGATACGATATATGAGCTCTATGCCATAGGATCACTGCCAAATCAACATTTAGAATTTTTCTATCAGAATCCAAGAACTTTCAGTGTCTTATCTTTATCTCTAGACCAGGCATGATCAAACTTTTTCTCTGAAGAACCAGACAGTAAAAGATCTTAGGCTTTACAAGCCACGTGTTCTTTGTTATAGTTACCCCAGTCTTCCCTTGTAACATCAAGGCAGATGATTTGTACACCAACAGGTGTGGCTGTGTTCTGATGGAACTGTGTTTACAAAAACAGGCGGTGGGTCAGACTTGGCCCCCAGGCTGGAGTTTGCCGACCCCTCTCGGGACCACTGTGTTGTATGTTTTCAGAGGTTACTCAGAAGATGTGTCTCCACCTTTCTGCCGAGTCGTTCTGTGACTAACATCATCCACAACTCATTTTCCCAACTCTTCTATTTTGTTCTTTTATTCTCTAGTGTTATAGATTCCTTTGTCTGGGGTAGGGGAGGAGGGAACATGATTGTACCATATAAAAATAACAGTAAACTAACATCAGTTATAAAGAAGTCAGAGGGACAAAGAGTAACTTTTAATCAGCTGGTCTCAAGAGCAGCACAGGGCCCCACACATGGTGAAGCTGAAAAACATATTTGAGAAATGAATACTTCAGTACTCTTGGTGATGATGACTTAAGTGTAATCGTAGCTCTGTAGTTGGATAGTCTGGTCCAAGCCCTGTAAAGTCAGGTAGCAGAGACAGGTAAAGAGAACCCCTCCACAAGGTGATCATAGGAGCTGGTTGAAGGATTTACCTGGCCATGCACGCTGGCCTGTAGTTAGTCCTGCAAGGGAAGTCTTGTGCAGTGTCCACTCTCCCTTCTTTACTTAGGCCTGTGTCCCTACCCTTCCCCTGCCTGGCAGCTCTTGCCTTCCTGTTTGTCACTCAGGTTCCATCACTGTCAGTACTGTCTGAGATGTAGTTCCTTCTCCACACAGCAGAGTGTATGGAGGAGAATCTGAAACCACAGGGGCCCCAAGGACTCATGATCATAAGGTATAGTGGCGGCCTCGCTCAGTGATGGAATGTATACCACTCCTCATAGGCCTGCCTTGGTCATCTCTGTCAACCAGAACAAAACCATGTTATATTTCAGAATATGTCACCTTAGGCAGGGATAGTGAAGGCTCAGAGTGAAAATACATACAGAGGTTAAGACTCCAAACAACAAAGGAGGAACTTTGAAGGCTCAAAGGGCCAAGAAATGACCACAGACTCTGTTGACCCAGCAATCTTGTTGGAATCGTAGGAGATTGCCAAGAGACCCCTTAAGCACTGGATTCTAGTTTTCCGTATGAAATGACGTGATCTGTTGACATCCAGATGCTACTGTCTTACAGGTCTGCTTCAAAACCTGCAGACAAGCTGTGGGAATCTTAGAGGCATCTGAAGGGAAGACTTTGTACTGGGGGTAAAGTGGGCCTTCCCCAAGCCACAGTGCTTACCACCCAAATATGTACAAGATGGGTGTGATCAGTGTTAAGTCCAGCCAAACGCTGTAATCCTCTCTCAGTAGAAACCTGCAGTGGTTGTACTAAACACAGGGTTGCCGCCCTGGTTCCTTTGCCTAGGTACAAATGTCACTCATTGACCTGTTGTTGACGTTCTGCCATACAATACATCACCTGAAGGTCAAGAATACAAGCACTGTTTCGTGGGGGTCACCATGCCTGCATTGCCGGTGTGCCTGCTGCTAGACAGCTGGCTCCATGAAGTATCAACTGCGGGAGAATCTGAAAGTCAGTTCACGGTCACTTCCTAGAAAGCCTGCCAGCCATTTACACCAGTTTTGTGACAGTACTTATCAAATCTGACTTCTAGCCAAGATGGAGTGGCAGAGACCAGATATATCTTCCCATCTGAAACAACTTAAAATTAGTGCACAAAATATGTGAAACAATGTTTTTCAAACATTAAACATGGAGTAGCCCAGGACAGAAATCTCTGAGAGTGGGAAAACCCAAGGTGAGCGCCTGCTTACTACCTGGAGGGGATTCCTTCCCAGGCGGAAGCCCAGGATTGGGGCCCAGAGAGAGCCCCCACAGTCTCCCTGAAAACCTGGGGGCCTGCCAAGAGTTTGCAGGACAGAGCCCAGGGGAGTGAGAGCAACCCTGAGAACCCTAGAGGGTATCACGTCTTCAGCTGAGTACTGATCACATTTATGTGAGTAAACTACTCAACAGTGGAGCAAGATCTACCATGAAGGGCAAAAAGAAAAATTCCCGGGACTGGAAAGGGCTGGGCAGACCCTGTGTGTCCACCAGTCGGAGTGGAGAAGCTGTATGCAAAGGGCAGCAGGCGGAGGGCTCAGAAGGGCATTGTCCTGTCAGAGAGAACAGTTCACTCCAGGCTAATGGCTAACCTGATCCCGTTTAACAAAACTGAACAACAGCCCCTCCTGAAAGTACTAACTTTGTGCAGCAAGTTAACCATGTCCCAGAGCACCCAACAATTGCTGGGGAACCCAGCAGAAACTTACCAGGCATACAAAGAAACAGGAAGAGTTGACCCATAACAACGAGAAAGATCAGTCTATTGAAACGGACCCAGATATGGCACAGCCAACATAAATAGGCCATTAAAAGTTATTAAAACTATATTCTGTATGTTCACGGTGGTAGAGGAAAGAAATTTTTAAAAATCCAGATTTAATTTTTAAAAATGTGAAATACAATGTGACAAGAGAAAAACTATACTGTGAGGGATGAATAGCACATTAGACGTTGCAGGGGAAAATTAGTGAACTTACAAACACAGTCATAGAAATTATCCAAAATGAAACATACACACACAGCCACAAACGGACCAAAAAAAAGTAGTATAAAACATGAGCAGAGCATCAACAAGCTGTGCGACAACTTCAAGGAGATGAATGTATGTCTAGTTTCAGTCCACAGAGGACTAGGAAGGCACAAAAATATTTGAAGAAGACTGATCATTCTCCATATATGATGAAAACTATAAACCCACATATCCAAGGTCAGTCAACCCCAGACATAAGAAATATGAAGAAAATTATGCCAAATATTCATCATGATCAAATTGCTTTAAAACTAGGCATGAGACCATCTTAAAAGTGACCAGAGAAGAAGACACAAAATTAAGGGCAGAATAAAAGACTTCTCATTTGAAACAGTACAAGGCAGAAGACAGTGGAACAACGTTTTTAAGGTACTGAAAGGAAAAAACCATCAACTTGGAATTCTATACCCAGTGTTTCTTTCAGAAACACTGGCAAAATACATATTCAGACATAGAAAAGCTGGAGGAATTAATCACCAGCAGAACTGCATTATACGAATGCTAAAGTAGAGGAAAATTGTATCAGAATTGTGGATCTACACAAAGGAATGAAGACCACAGGAAATGACATATATGCAGGTAAATATTCTTTTCTGATTTTTTAAATCTCTTTAAAAGGTAATTGACTGTTTAATACAGTCATCTGTATAACAGTTGTGTAAATGAATACAATAATACTGTATTTTGGGGTTTACACCTTAAGTAGAAGTAAAATGTATGACAGAAGCAGAAAGGAGAAAGGATGAAATGTAAATATATTATTGTAATGTTCTTATACTATAAGCAAAGTGGAATATCAATTAAAGGTAAACTAATAAGTTAAAGATGTGTAATACAAGCCTAGGGTAATCACTAAACAACAACAAAAAAAGTTTTTACTAATAAGCCAATAAAGGAGATCAAGTGGAATAATAAAAAATAATCCAAAACATTATTTGTAAATTATAGTAAGTGTAAATTAATTAACTGCCACAATTAACTGCTGAGACTGTCAGAATGAATTTTTAAAAACTGAGACCCAACTCTCTGCTGCCTGTAAGAAACTCATGCTCAACATAAAGATACAAATGGGTTAAAATTAAAAGGGTGGAAAAATATATACCTTGGTGACACTGATCAAAAGAAAAGTGGACAGCTATATTAACATAAGAGCAATAAGAAGAATAAGAAAAAAAGAATAAAGTCATTCTGTAATGATGAAAGAATCTGTCCAGCAATCCTAAAAGCCTTTACACACTGAGCAGTACAAGTTCAAAAGACATGAAGAAAAAAACTGATAAGCTGCAAGAAGAAATAGACAAACCCACAGTTATCATCCCGCGTTTCTACTTTCCTGTCCCAAATATGGACTTTTAAAATAGTAGGCAGATGACAGGCTAAAAGAACAAGATACCACTGTGCACCTATTAGAATGGCCAAAATCAAAAAGGGCAGGTTGTGGGAACAACAAGAGCTCTCACTCATTGCTGGTGGGACCACAAAATGGTACAGCCACTTCATAAGACAGTTTAGCAGTTTACTTACAAAAGTAAACTGCAATCCAGCAGTCCTACTCCTTGATATTTACCCAAGTGAGTTGAAAACTTGTGTCTACACAAAAACCTGCGCATGGATGTTTACAACAGGTATATTCATAACTGCCAAAGCTTGGGAACCACCGAGACATCCTTAAGTAGGTGAATGGATAAATAAACTGTGTTCTATTCAGACAGTGGGATATTTTTCAGTGCTAAAAAGAGAGAAGCTCTTAAGCCATAAAAAGACAGGGAAGAATCTTAAATGCATATTATATATACTAAGTGGAAGAAACCACCCTGAAAAGGCTAATACTATGTGACTGTGACTATATGACATTCTGGAAAAGACAGAACTGTGAAGACAGCACAGACAGACCTCATTTTATTGCACCTCACTTTATTATGCTTCACAGATACTGTAGTTTTTACAAATGGAAGGTTTGTGGCAACCATGCATCAAGCAAGTCTGTCAGCGTCATTTTTCCAACATTTGCTCACTTTGTGCCTGTGTGTCATGTTTTGGTAATTCTCC